GTTTTGCTTAACCGTTTTTTTCAGGACAAAAAGACGGTATTTTTTAATCTCTGGTGTTAATTTACCTTTATTTAGAATGTTGATATTTCTGTCTCCCTGCACATACACATATCAACTTTCAATTAATAGATATGAAAGCCAAAGGTCTGAACCATTGTCCCAAGTCTGCTGCTAAATAAGTGCCTTTTTTTTTTTTTAGATATGTGAAAGGGGTGCTAAAACATAGAGCTATTTTTTTGTATTTTAACCATTTGCTGTATTGCTGTTGCACTTGGAACACACTTGGCTCTAGTAGATGAAGAATGAGTTATAAAAGAATGTTTTCATGTTAGTCCTAGCACAAGTCTTCACCAGAGGATGTAACGGTGTTATGAAAGAGACACCAGGAGGAAGTAGTAGATGTGAAATCTGTAGACAGATGACTAGTAAATTCCAAATGGAGAAGTATCAACAGAAATTAGTGAGGGAAAACAAGCCAACAAACAAAACCTGAACCCACCCCTCAGTGCAAGATCCTACAGAAGGTGAAGGTAAAATTTATTTACAAAGTCTCTGGTAAGCTGGTTCTCGTTCACATCTACCTATTTTCTAATAGATTTTATTCACTCATACTCTCACAGTCAAGCACAAAGATGTGTGTGCCAAATTGGTCACATTTTGGCACACACATTGGATCCTCTGTGTGGGACACAGTGGACAAGGGATGCTCACTGCTGAGATATCACTGTGTCTCCTGTGTTCTTTGTGATTGTCAATGACAAACTAGGTTTTTGATAGATGTTTCATGACCTTTAAGAGTCAATAGTTATTACAGACTGATTCTTTGCTTCAGGATCTTACTTCAAGCTCCATAAATTGAAGGCCAAGCTGTTGCCCATCCTGTTTTCTTTGTTGGTTTGAAATGTGGGAGGTGACCCTGCTCATGGCAAGGGGGTTGGAAATAGATGATCTTTAAGGTCCATTCCAACTCCAGCCATTCTATGATTCTATGAAATGTGTCACTGTTTTCCCAGTAGACATGAACAGTTCATGTGGCGCGCTGCAACCTTGTTGCTATCATCTTGTTGTTAGAATGCACTTTTTTTTTTTTCTGGTAAAGCACCTGTGTTGGTGTCTTATCAGAGTGCAGGCTGTCTTGATATAAACAACACATTCTTCAAGTTTACCACTGGGAATGATGTCCTGGGAGTAGTTTCCTGGGAAAGTCCTTCGTTATTGACACAGGCCATTCTATTAATCATTGTTTTAATATTTGTTCTTGAGTGTTAATATATGTGCATTTCCTTTCATATTGCACTCACAAATTTTAGTATATCTGTTACAATTATGTTACTCTACAAAAAATCTTATTTATTGTTATTGTAATTTGGGTATTGAGTCAAGTTTCATACTGCTCATGCCACTCCTTTGAAACAGGGGAGCAGAAGCTGTAGTCTTTCTTCCAAATAGTGATTAAACTTACTGTTACAAATTCTCAGAGTAGCAGTCTGGCCTGAGAATGAATTTGGTAAAGGAAAAGGCAGTCAACTAGACTTTCTGAGACTTCGTGTGAGAACGCAGAGTGTATGCATATTTAGGGAAAACTGATTTTCCATAAAGTGGTGGTGATGAAATACAAAGAAATTAAATACATGTTAAGTTTAATTAACTTTACACTGAATATTGCCCCTGTCTTTTAGAGTGTTTCCATATTTACAGTACAAACAGATTTTGTCACTGGTAGCGTCCTGTAGCTTTTAGCAGTAGTGTTATGTAAGTAAACATAGACCAAAGTTTAGTCTTTTGGTTATATGATAAGCTTTCTACATCTTCTATAACAACTTCTTCTGGTTTTAGGGATGATGAAAGATAGTTTGGCAAGTATCGTGCCCTAGCTTTTTCCTTGCTAGCTTATATGGGGACAGTCACAGATTTTTCTTAGATTTTTCTTCATTTTCTTAGTAAGTTTGTTAAGAACACACAAGTGTGCTAATAGTTAAGAAAATGCCCTTAGTAAGATGCATCATATGTTCTTTTGGAGATAGAATGATCTAGTAATGACTCAAACAAGCATAAGAAACTTCCTCACATGCATTCTGTCCTACAGTCAGCCTTTATTAGTATGCTTCTGCAGCTGTTATGACCTGCAGGGGGTTTAAAATGAAATGGGGAGCCTGTGTATTTATATGAGTTAGGTGAGACACATACTGCCCACTACTATAGGTGCTTCATGGTTCAAAATGATGGTTATTGGAAGACTTTGTTCAATCAAGCATTCTGACAGTTTGTCTTCAAGTAGTGGCGGGTTCTTCTCATGAACACTGCATAACAGGAAACACTGCACCAAAAAAATTCCTGCTGGTTTGTGCCAGAAGTTTTGCTCAAGGTACAAGCCTCCACGTTTCCCTTCACTTACCAAACAACACAGTGACTCACGAGTAAGACTTAAAATAGTACAGAATTCTTAATGCCTGTGCCCAGGGTGAAGCTAACAGGTTGTGCGCTCTTACAGAAATGTGTGTCTTTGTTTTCCCTGAGTTGTTAGTGTGATTTCCAGTGGCCAGACAATCCTTTGGTTCTGTTATGTGACTCATTAAATCGAACAGGTTGTACACAAATACCCCAAGGAACAGGAAGAATAAATTCTCAGCTGGGTACCATCCCGGGAGTTTTTACTTTGCTGCTTTTGATGTCTCAGCTTATACATTTCTATTGTATTTTCATTTTATCTAGCTGGGCTGCTAATACAATTACTGATTCACAGGGTGTGGGGTTTTTAATTAGCTCTACTGTGAATACAGGTTTCCTGGTTATAAGGTGCTAGCAGGCCAATATGGACAAGAAAACTGTATCTATTAAGAAGCAATACTTCCTAACCATTGTCTTAATTTCTGTTTTTCAATATAGAAAAATAAGCACTTCTTCAAATAGTACTCTGAGGCTGCAAGGCAGAAGTCCCTAAACATCATTCAGCAATGCTATTTTGAGAAATGAATGCTCCAGTGCTCATTTTCTTTCAGATAGTGACAGAACTCACACCTCCACACCATCTTTCCCCTCAGGGCCTTATGTGAAAGTAGCACTGCAGGGCAGTGCAGTATTGTACATGTCACGTGTTGGGTATGTTTGGAGGGAGAAAAGCAGAAGTTTACAACCTGAGATTCTCATTAAGTAGTTATGTATGTGGACATAGTCCTTCAAAACAGCTTTTATTTAAATGGCACGGAGCACATGTGGCTTCCATGGTATACAAGTTATAGCATTCATTCCCAGTCTAACTGAATCCAAGTACCTGTTCCTATTGGTACAGATTCAAGCATCTTTGCTAAGTCTCTGATCTTTTAATGTTCATAATTAAAAGATATTAGACATATGTCGTCCTATGAAAGAGCTATGTGTTACTTCAAAAGCCTGTTTGTTAGGTGGTGTGGTTTGGGCCAGACTGGCCACTGAAACGAACAACAGATGCTCTCCCCCCACCTCTCTCTTCAAGGATAGGAGGGAGAGAGAGAAAGAGACTTAGGAGTTTAGAAAAAAACTAAACTACTTTAATAATTGAAGAAAGAGGGTTAATTTTTTAAAAAAGAAAACAATGACATATATATACAAACCTGTATGAAGTGTCAAGACAGAGTCCTCCTCAGATGCCGGCCATTGAAGAAAGAGGGCTGACCCTTTAATCCCTCAGCTTTTATACTGTGCATGATGCAGATGGAATGGAATACCCTGTTGGTCAGTTTTGGGTCACCTGTCCTGTCCTCTCCTCCCCACAGGTGTGACCCCTCAACTCTTTTCCACTTCCGACCCTCCAACAGGGCAAATAACAAAGTTAGCTGGCCTTGGGTGTTACAGGAATTAAGTATAAGCAAGAGCCTCTCTGCATACTATTCCTTGGCATAAATTACAAGTAATCAGGTCTTATCACTTTGAGAACAAGCAGTGTCTCCACAATATGCTGTTAATTTTCAGAGAGTTCAGTTAGTCAGAAGAGGCCTAGCTAAAAGGTAAAATTACTGAACCAAAAATTCATTCTGTTTTACCTCAAACCAGGACAGTTAGGTCTCACTAATGAACATTTATTTGGGCTGAGGATGGGTAGAGGGGGAATGAAGTTTTTGATGAAAGGTAAGTTTACCAGAGCATTTACTTCACTGAAATGAAGCCCATGTCACCTTCGTCTCTAAAATGCACCCTAACAGGGTGGCACACGTAAGAAAGATACCCAAATTTTGTCAGTCTTCGTCTTAGCTCCGTTTCCACTACTACACAAAAATCTTTTGTGTTTTCCCTTCGCCTTTAGTGTCCTTTCTCTTCTGATTTTAAAATGTAAGCTTAATGATCAAAGAGAGTGCTCCCAGTCCAAGCACATGTGTTAGCATGCCTCTATATTGTTCTGTGAAATCTCTTTTTTCTTCTCTTTGTGTAGTCAAATTTTCTTCGTCTCATTGAAAGCAAAACTGTAGTAGCCTGATATGACTCAGTGCAAGCAACGTGAAGGAAAGTCTTTGCTCAATCCCATTTCATAGACTGCTAATTTGCTAGCATTGAAAATAAATTTCAGTCCTTCTAGTTTGTTACTTCTGTCATGAATCCTAAAGTTTAGAATAAGTTTGTCTCTTGAAGCAATGAATTCTAGCTGTGTTGATTTGCTTTTTCTATATTGGTGGAGCCAGGCTTTTATGCCTGGATGTTGATGTAATGGATTTTGAACGTGGCTGTTCCCTATGACTTCTTCATACCTTTGGTGCTTAGAACTCGATTATTATTCAGAAGTATCTCATATTGAAAGACTCTTCCAAAAGTTTTTGACATCACTTGTACTATTTTCTTCTTGACTACGATTCTTGTCATTGTATGTAATGGCAAGAAACAAACATTTTTTGTATCATTTTGCTGGAAATTAGTAGACATTTACATCATTAGTAAAAATTTAAATGTCAATAGCATGTACAAATATCTGTATTAAGAATAATTGATTTCTGATATGTTTTTTTGTTTGTTTCTTTTCTTTCTTCCAATAGAAAGCCATTTCATCTCCAACTGTATCACGCCTTACAGATACATCAAAATTCACAGGTTCTCACAAAGAGAGGTTTGATCCCAGTGGGAAAGGAAAAGGCAAAGCTGGCCGAGAAGATCTGGTGGATGCTTCGGGATATGTATCTGGCTATAAGCATGCAGGCACATACGATCATAAAGTACAAGGAAGCAAGTAAGGCTGAGGGTTTACAATATAGAGGGAGAAAGGGAGGGGGAAAGAGAATATATTTGTCAGAAGGATGTAGATGAATCCCACATGTTTTGGTTATTGTGAATGGTAAGACTATGTTGTCAAGAAGTTGTTTTCTGGAACTGGAACTGATTTCAACATTTGCTGAGCTACTTGCAGCACAACACCACTTCATTACATTCCTCATGCGTATATTGGCAAAAATAAATATATCGGTACAAAAATTACATCATTTTGTTGAGCTTTCGACAAAAGAAAAAAAAAAAGAAAAACAAAGTCAAGAGCAGTTATACTTTGTCAATTCAAGCAAAAGATCTCAAACATTCCTAAATGTCCAGGTGCCCTGAGGATGTCAAAGAGAAACTCTTTAAAAGAGGGTCTTTCATAGCAGTCTTTCTGAAGAGTATCACATTATTTATGCAGTCTGATTTGACTACTGTTTTGGGACTTTTTTTAACATGTCTTATACGGGATCTGCCACTTTCCTTAAAACATTCAACAATATACTATTGGGGAGTAAGTGGTTGTAATATACAAGGTGCTAGCCTGTAAATGTCGTACACCACTCATGAAAAACTGAAAAAAAAGCTATTTTTAGGACAATATAGGTTCTAAAGTATTTTGTGTCAACAGAAAGAGGTGGAAGATACCAGCTCTTACTTTCCTCCTGTCTATACGTTGTGCTTGTTACTGTGTGTACTGTAGCATGGTTCTGACTGGCTGGATTTGGGTGGAGCTATTGTACTAACCTGAGAGGTGAAGAACAAGGCATTACTAAGAAAGTCTATTAAAGCTTTTTGCAGTCTGTTTTCAAGTTTGCACTGCCTCACTTTGAAATGGAGGGGGCATTAAGCTAATAATGCTTTAAAATATTGATTATGACTAACCACTGCCAATCAGTTTGCTAGTAAGTGAACGTTATTATGAACATACATTGGCACATATTCCCTTTAAGCTGTAACATATGTAAAGAAAGTTTACGGTCCCTTGGAGTAAGGACATTTAAAATTAATACCCCTGTAATTAGGTGCAATTTGTCCCTAAAAATATACTACCATAACTGGGCTACATTTTATGTTAGATTTCTTTGAAGCCAAGGGATTTGATTCTCTGTTCACTTTTGCTGCGTAACTGGGAGTAATAGTATTGATGGGAATGGCTTTCCACTGCTATAGAAGGAGTACCAGTTCCACAGTATTAAGGTACAGGCCGCTGAGTGTGACGTGCCTGGGGCCCAGAATGCCAAATCAGATTAATAGGAATAAAAATAACTCATTTTTTTATATTGGTTTAAAAAGGAGAGAAAAGACAGGTCCAATTTTCCACAAGAGCTGAACAAGTAGCCTAATGCATTACTCTGCTTCTCTAACATTTTGAAAGATAAGATTTTCGGTATTCAAAAACAGCCCCTAGCAGTTCTGCTTTACTTTCTTTCAAAAAGAGCTCATGCACTGATTTTCATCTTCAACTCTGAATAAAGGTTAATAAATTTATTGCTCTCCCCCCACCCGTATCAGCATCCCACTCAGACTACATAACATTAAGCGAACAGTGTGTGTTGTCATGTGCCATGCAGGTCAATAATCTGTATTTGTCCAATGTCCGGAAACAGAGCACCGGTTTTCAGCCCTTAAACTGTTCATGTTTTGTTTTTCTGACATTGAATGGTAGCCTTTCTTGTAACTTTGCCACCAATGACCCTTTAATCCCATACATCAGCCTGAAACCAAAACAGTAGAAAACAAAGACAAGGACTTCCTTGTGGATTTGGAGATTTTTTTGTTTGTTAATAATTCTTTAGGGGTTTTGTTGTTAAGAGAGAGGGAATTTTGCCAAAACTCAGCACATGTTCTTGTAAAGATTTAAATGGCTTTTTTCATGGTTGGCTCTGGTTACCTGGGAAGATTTTTGATGTATGTAAGGATGCTCAGGATGGGAAGAATCCAGCTTTGTAAAGCCTTTCCAAGAGTTACCCATTATTCTTGAAGAAAAATTTTCATGGAATGAAGGATTATCCCCTCCCATGTTGTACTGGTGATCTGCCACACTCTGAGGCAGAAAACAGCATACTGTGATACCAAGAATGGCTAAATTATTCCAGCATGGTAGTGAGCTGTCTAAATGTAGAGAACCTTATTCTATGTCACTGGTGCCTGTGCACCTGAGGAAGGCTACTGTTTTTTATGAATAAAAAGGTTAAGCCTCTAACCCTTGATAAATTGTTCAGCTAAGTTACAGGCAAAACCAGTGTCCCTGTTCTTCCCATTGGCTTTAAGACTCGACACATAACCCACTGGTAATTGAAAAGATGTGGACCCAGCCGAATGAAGAGTGAAGTCCAGTCTGCTGCAGAGCCCTTTCAGCACACTGTTGATCTGACTGTTTCCTGCTAGCTAGCTGTCTTGTCTGGCACATCATGTAATGCTTAACCTGAGGTGCACAAGTGACAGGCTTTCTCAAGTATCCAAATACTGAGTGTCAGTAATTCCAGACTGTTGATACACAGGAGGAGTGATTGGTTAGGAAGATATTAAGACATAATTAGGTTTTAAGTTTCTAGTTCACAGTGTGAAAGAGACCAGCACACTCGTAAGATAGAAGGCCTGCAAAGGAATTGAGAATGAGGACAGATCCAAGCTGATATGGACTAGAAATTGAGCTACTCTCTTTCCTATTCTGATGGAAATAGCTGGGGTTCTGCCAGATTTTATTATGCATTACTTGTGCACTATAAAATCCCTGCCATGAACCAAAGCACTTTGTTATGGACCCGATGGAAAGTTCTTTGAAATACTTTCAGTGCCATATTAAGCTTTGGATCAGGACCTGAGAAGATGCTTCAAATCACAGAATCATGAATCACAGAATGGCTGGGGTTGGAAGGGACCTTCGGAGATCATCTAGTCCAACCCCTCTGCCAAAGCAGGGTCACCTAGGGCAGGTTGGAAAAGAATGTGTCCAGGCAGGTTTGGAATACCTCCAGAGAAGGAGATTCCACAACATCTCTGGGCAGCCTGTTCCGTTGCTCTGTCACCCTCACAGGAAAGAAGTTTTTCCTCACATTCAGATGGAATTCCCGTGTTCCAGCTTGTGCCCGTTGCCCCTTGTCCTGTTGCTGGGCACCACAGAAAAGAGTCTGGCCCCATCCTCTTTACACCCACACTTTAGATATTTATAAGCGTAGGTAAGATCTCCTCTGTCTTCTCTTCTCCAGGCTAAACAGCCCCGGGTCTCTCAGCCTTTCCTCAGCAGAGAGGTACTCCAGTCCCCTGATCATCTCCGTAGCCTCTGCTGGACTCTCTCCAGTATTTCCCTGTCTCTTTTGACCTGGGGAGCCCAGAACTGGACACAGCGCTCCAGCTGTGACCCCACCAGAGCAGAGCAGAGGGCAAGAATGACCTCCCTTGACCTGCTGGCCATACTTTTTTTTTTGTGCACCCCAGGAGCCCATTGGCCTTCTTGGCCACAAAGGGCACATTGGTGGCTCGTGGGCAACTTGTTGTCCCCCAGGACTCTCAGCTCGCTCTCTGCAGAGCTGTTTTCCAGCAGGTCAGCCCCCAACCTGTACTGGTGCCTGGGGTTATTCCTCCTGAGGTGTGGGACCCTAAACTTGCCCTTGCTGAACTTCATAAGTTTCCTCTCCAGCCTGTCCAGGTCTTGCTGAATGGCAGCCCAGCCTTCTGGTGTGTCAGCCACTCCTCTCAGTCCATTCCTTCCCGCTCTGTGCCTGCTCCATTCCAGGAGGTTCCTGGAATGCATAGTAGTATTTTATTTTGAGGAACACACTTTGTTTCTTCTTCATTTTTACAGTTGGGTAGTTTTAAAACTCAATTAAACAGATGCATGAAAAGAAGTTATTCTGATATGACAGTGACAAAGGGAAGTTGTGGCTGGAAAGATAGTACTTTGGAAAGATTTTTCCCTTTTACTACACTTGGTGTGGAAGATAAAGGCTATGAATAAAAGCATCATATGCAGCTGTGTATTAGGGATTCAGCCACCTAGGTAAGCTCTTACTCTTCCAGTAATATCTGTAGGAAATTAAAAGCCTAAATGCAAGCTTGAATGTTAGCCATAAATTCCAGGCCTGCTTGGGAATGGGGCAAAATACAGTTTCTTGTTCATCTGCCATTCCCTCAATTCTCAGGACAGCAAGTACAGCTGGTACCTCAGAGATAAGGGGAAGGGATAGCTCAGGAGGTGCAGGAGGTGACCCATTTTCAACCCTTGAAGTGTTGTAGAGCATATGCTTGTCCTGTGCCATACTCCAGAGTAAATAAATGTCATGTCTGAAGTAAGGACATGGGTAGCTAACAGGGATTACTCTCATCTCTTTTGGGCATCTCAACTTCTTCCATCTAACTTTCCAATATGATTTTCAGCATTTTATACTACGTAGCACTCTTCTATGTGACATCTTATATAAAAACCTGTTGTTTCTAATTATCTTTGCTATCATTGCCACTGAACATGCTACCAAAAGAAATGTGATCAGAAAGTTCGGGTAGCTTTAAGCAATAACTGCCTTAAAGAATAAACTCAAATTACACTGCTCGTTTAAAGTTAAACCCTTATGTAGTATGGTAGTACACAATCTTACGTGTATCTCCATTGCGGCTTAACCTAATCATCAAAGCCTTTTGGCTTTGAGGACAAGAAATAAAAATCCTCACTGAGGCAAAAGAATAGTCCTTACAAATAATTTTCTAAAGATAACCTAATTTTTAAGTAAAATATGCAGTAGTCAAATAGGTTTTCTTATTAGTGCTTGCTTACTAATTCCCTCTAGTCACTCCATGTGCTTTAGTTACTTGTTGAGAGTTTTTCAACAATCTTATCAATATGGAAATATCAGAAACAAAAATTATTGCCCTGTGGCTATGAAAGCTATCACAATAGTGTTACTGAGAAGCAGACATTAAAAAACATCCATTGTTTCAACAATCCTATGTGAATAGTTGTCATTAATTGTAATCAAATATTTGGAATCCCTAAGGAAGTGTTGAATGTTGGACAGTGGCCAAGATCTTCTTTTTAAGTGGCCACTTTCTCTTTTTTTTAAACCTAGAATATTTCTTTGCTCTTTTTCACTTCCGGGAAGGGAAAGGGAGATTTCAAAACTACTCACATGCCACAGTTTGTGTTTTTCATCATCATAGAAATTGTCCTTCAAAGATATTTTGGATTGAAGTATATTTTCCATGTATTTTACTGACTTTACCTAAATTAAAAATTCTTCTGAAAATTTTTTGGCATTATAGAAAACTTTGTTCATGAATTAGCATTTCAGTCTCCCATATAT